GAGTAACCAGAGGTACCGGCCTGCCTAGCAACGAATGCTCTCTCCTCATCGACGAAATTTGATGAGATAAAAAAAAACATCGGCACCAACAAAATCCCGCTCCTAATAGTCTTCCTCCGTTGCCGCACGAGGTATGGAGGGGTGACTAACAGTCTTGACACGCCAATCTAAGCTTACGTATTTTGTAGCCTCATTATAATGTGTAAAGGGCTGGTCAGAGACAGTAGCAGGATTGCCAATCCTTACTGGTGCCTCCTCTGTGTTCGGCGCCATGGCCGCGATGGTGCAAAACCTCATCTCCCATAGGTCGATAAGTCGACTGACACACCACCATGACGGGGAAAATGGGCACACCGCCGAAAATATCCCCTGAGCCACCCCCCCCGTCAACAACAGATATCGTTCGCTCGACTCATCGCCTCGTCAATGCTAATAGAAAAATGGTTCCATTTTTGAGCAACCGCTATGGAAATACCTAAGCCTAAGCAATAACAAAAACCTCATGTAGGGTAGCAACACCGGATTTGCCCACCAAACGCCTAGCCAATGATTTCATCCATGTCATAACCTAAAACCTCTCCTTCATCCTCGCCGCAACCGTCCGTAGGTTGCCGTAAACCTTCCCAGGAGGCTTACCCAGGATCAGACTGACAATCGACTCCCTTGCAATGTGGATATTCTTGAACCCGCCCAGAATGTGAATTTTTGAGTCGGCCAGCACGATTCTCGTCCGGCTTGCGTTCTCGATGGCAAACTTGGTCTTTCCGTCTTTGCCGGCAATTCTACCAATCGCACGGGCCTGGCTGTCTCCATGCATAGTCCTGACATCCTTGATCTCAAACGTCTCAATGTAAAGGTCATCCAGGCGAAGGAGCGCCACGGCGTCGTCGACGTCGAAGCCGAGCGTAAATGCTTTTACGAAATCTTCACCCTTTTGGAGTGCGCCCGACTCAACCGTATGCTTGGATGTTCGTAGCTCCACTGTCTTGCGCTTGATGTTCATGCGACATTGTAGCTTGAGGTGTTCTACAAGGGGTGGGTAGATGGAATTCCATGACTGTTTCAGAGGCGTCATTCTGTGAGGCGGGACGGGGACTTTTCGAGTTTCGACACGAGTGACGGGATCCTGAAATTCATGCGGTTAGCATAGCTCACGAGAGTTAAGTGCCCTGGTACCCTTACAATGTCTCGCGATGGCGCAAATCGTGGCCGTCCCTCCTCGTCAATCGCCGTAGACTCGACAGTCACTGGAGCGAGCACAGTGTCCGCATCTATGGGTAGAGATTCTGCAGTATCTAGAACAAATTCTTCGTCGCCGTCGGGAATCTCGATATCTGTATTTCCCGCCACAATTAGCGAATAAAACTAAATAATGCGGCCTGCGATGGCTCTTTACCTTGCACCATGTCGGTCTCGAAATGGCTGGTAGGCGGGGTGTCCTCTGCCCTCTTTAATGCGGTCGGCGCAGACATGATGGCACAAAGCAGCGACAAATTAATCTCTAAATATGAAAAATGTTCACTTCTTTGTAAAACTAAAGATCAGAAGGAATAGAATTGTCGGAATGGCGAGTTTATTCCTGCATCGTATTCGTGGTGGGATTAAAAAGTTGGCGAATGCCTTATCGATGCCCACCAACCTGGATTCGAGGAAAATTTGTGGTGGGCTATCGGGGCTTATCGATTGGCTCGTGGCGCTCAGTGTGCTAGGGTGGGCGCGTCATGGAAGCCCATTAATTCTGTCGAGTTATGTATTAGAAGCTTGCCGGGTCCCTTCCAAAATCAGGTGTAGAAGTGATCGATCTCTGCATCATACCGACTTCGACCCCAGAGGCCCACCATTGCTCTTCTCATCGGTGCCTCATCAATGAGACGCTGGACGCCATGAGTTGGAAAAATGCCTAAAGGTCACCCATCATGGCTTCTTGGGCACCTCTTACCGAGGCCAAGCCAGGCCCTCGTTCCAACAGCCACTTTAGTTGGATCAATGTCATTGGCAAGCCGTCGACAGGTTGCTAGGCCTGTGTCAACCCTTCTGCCCAGCCGTGTTCTACACTCTGGATATTTCCAACAGTCTCCTCGAATAAACTCTGCCTGCGACTTCTCGACCCTACGCAGTAATCTCCGAGCCCCTCAACGTCAGAACCCGTTACCACTGGCACCTCCGCCCGTTCAGCGCTACCATGTCTCCCATGTGGCCTCAATCCTCCAGAACAGGCCATCATTGTCCCGCCATATCAGACTACTCAGCGACTATTCCAAAGGGCCGGGTTCTGTGCGCAAGACTGCAGGCGAGAGCTCGGCAAATGCCAAGGCTCAAGAAAATGAAGGACGAAGACCCGAGCAGGCCGCGGGTGCAAAAGACACGGGAACCACACATCAACCAGCAACCAACGACTCCCAGTCCGACGGCGAGTCTTTGGCATCATCAGTGTCCAAATATCTCCATCTTCCTCGGATGCCGCATCGGCCCACCAAGGAGGAGCTGCTTGCGGCAGCAACAAACTTTCGTCAGAGAATGAAGGTTCGGCTAAAGTGGATGTCAATTCGATCCATGCGCCCTTGGAACATTGATGAATGGGGAGCATTCGTCTCCTGGGTTATGTTGGGTCATATTGTCTGGATTCTGCTCGGAACGACAACCTTTTTCTCGATTATTATTTTGTCTATCAATACTGTGTTTGCGCAAGGTAAGCGCCCACCAGTCACCACCCATTGAGTTCATCCGTTGCTAATTACCACCGTAGAAACATTGGCCAAGAAAGTGGGCGACTATCTCACCAAGTCAGCTGGCATTACTGTGATATTCGAGTCTGCGATCGTCCCCAAGTGGAAGGGTGGCGTGATTTCTTTTCGCAATGTGTTTGTCTCCCGTCGCCCTGGCCAAATCACCTCTTCAGTGAGCAAAGGGTCCAGTGATGCAGCCGCCGTGGCCGCCGCTGACCGCCAAGCACAACATGATAATGTCAATATCGAGCAGGACGATGGCAACTACACGCAGTTTGATGTGACAATCGCTACTGTGAATGTGACGCTGTCGTTTCTAAACTGGTGGAGTGGGAGAGGCCTTCTCAAAGACGTTGAAGTTAAGGGCGTGAGAGGTGTCATTGACCGCACGTCTGTGACCTGGCCGGTTGAGCAGATCGACCCCTTGTCATATCGACACGAGCACCAACCTGGCGACTTTGAGATCGAAACCTTTAAGCTGGAGGATCTATTGTTGACGGTCCACCACCCTGGCGGTTTCCGACCATTCACTGTGAGTATCTACTCGTGTGAGCTGCCTCAGCTCCGGAAACAATGGTTGTTCTACGATTTCCTTTCAGCAAACCACATGTCCGGTTCCTACGATGGTTCTCTGTTTACCATCCACCCAAAGCAAGTACCTGGTGTTGTCTCAAATCGAGACCACCAGTCATCGTGGGGCTTCGGTGAGGCGAATGCATGGAAGAAGTTCAGCCGACTACGCATCGATGCACTGAAAATCGACCACCTGAACCGTGGCGTCGAGGGCACATTTGGCTGGATCTATGAAGGCAACGTGGACATCATCGCCGACATTGCTTTCCCAGCCGATACTGACCAAGGTATCACCAAGGTCATGTCCGACTTTTATGACCAGCTGGAAGAGATTGTCATTTCGAACCGTCATCGTTTCATGCGCAACAATGACGACACTGACACTGATCTCCTTAGATCGGGACATCTTTCAGAGGCCTTTGAGGCTGCCCCAACCACCGAAACCCCCCAAGAGCCGTCAAAATTAGAGGATGACCGTCGATATTTGTTGATGGATCTGCGTATCAATCTCAACGACGTCAAAGCCTCCGTGCCTCTGTTTACCAACCATCTCACCTACGTAAACCAAGCACTCGTCCGACCCATCGTGGCGTATATCAATGCCAAGAAAACCTACATCCCCATCACCTGTCGCATAGTCAAACGTGCTAGCGATTTTGAAGGCAGCTGGTCAGCATACGACTGCGGCCTCCAAAACGACATGTCCGCCGAGACATACGAAGCCTTCGCAAAGGACATTGAAAACCAGCAAAGCCGCGTACGACGGTTCAAGAAAGTTGGTTTCTGGACCCTCTCCCTCGCGATCCACGCCCTCTTCATGGGCATGGCTGGAAATGTGGTGTGAGAAAAGGGAACCCAGTACGGAGCACGAAGAAAGGAGAAATAACCCATTATCCCACTCATCGCTTATTACACATCTGGCGTTATGTTTACGTTAACGAAAAAAACCTTTGTCAAAATTTACGCCCCGTTGTATCATGTTTTGTTTATAGCACTGGGGTACGTCTTTTACTTTGGGGAGTTGGCTTCTTTTTGGTTTGCTTTCCACGGCGTTTTAGATTGGGGGACTAGCGACGCGACAAATGTTAACAAGGGAAATGAATGATACCCTAGCTTCCGCATGCTGAAGAGGAGAAGCTGATGACAACTTCCCCGTATGCAACCTTCACATGGCGAGCGGCTATAGAGACGCATCGTATCACGTCAAGTCATTTGACAGTAATGTAATAACCTGTTGACTACTATATCTTCTGCCAGAATATGAATCATCAGTGTTCCCGAGCGCCGTACTATCCGTCCCTTGCTCCCAAACCGAGACCCAGCCTGTATAACCACCGTACCCGGCACCAGGCGCACAATTCGACGCCGAAGCGTGTACTTATTTCGGCATCGCCAGTTGACCTATACATGGCCCCGTCGTTCGCCATTACCCCTACTTCACGACCTTGACCACGCCATTCTCCAAGGATATTAACCAGTGTCCCCATGGTGAGGAGCATGATAATCCCGCGCAATCAAAGAACTCGCGGCTTGAGTCCGAGATTGGATTGCGAGCTCCCTGAGCAGTTGACAGGAGGGCGCGGGAAAGAGCTTGCCGACATCTTCTCACGATGGATGTAAATGCGCCCTGGGCGTGTCGCATAGATAGAATGATAGTAGCATATTCATACGGCGGCTGTGCCAAAACCCGTTTTGCTACTTTCACATAAAATCATCACTGCGGGACGTTAGTCAGACGTTGGGAATACAAGAATCGGTAGGGGTCACATACTCTCCGAAAGCATCTTCATCATAAGCGTTCGTGTCAGCGGTATTAGCGCGGCTGGCGACCAGTGATGTCTTAGTCTTGGCGGCCTTGGTCTTCTTGCCACCCTTTTGAGCGGCCTTCTCGACCTTCAACTTCTCACTGCTCAGGGCCGTGAGCTTGCTGGCAACAATCTTGATCTGGTCACTGGGGAGCTCGGCAGCAAGCTGCTTGGCAAACTCCTGCAGGAAGAGAGAGTAGTGTGCCTTCTTGCCGTTGGCGGCGAGGATAGGCACCAGGGTCGTGCGAAGCTGCTCAAACTGGGCCTTGGTGGTGGGGTTGAAGAGAGGGAGGGTGGCAATGTTGACAGTCTTGCTAGGATCGTCGTTGCTGACAGCGACGGCAGTTCCAACGGTCTGGCCTTTGCGAGAGTTGCTGACGCCAATATCTCCAAAGTCATCACTACCGAATAGGGCTTCGGCGTGCTTCATGTCTGCCTCCTTCTCGGTGCGGCGAAGACGTTCGCGGCGCTCAGCCTCGGTCTCCTCCTCCTCATCCTCGTCAGAATCTTCCGCGAGAGCCTTGGCACGGGCATCCTGGTGCTCCTTGATGCGCTGAGCCTTGGACTTCTTGTTGGCAGCAGCTTCAGCAGCGGCCTGCTCCTTGACCTCCTTAGCCTTGCGCTCCTTCTCTCGCTCTACTTCAGAATCCTCTGCGGCATCCCAAGAATCGAGCACCTGGGGACCGGGAGGGGGTTGTTAGTCTTGGCAGCTCCAGAAAGCACAGGTTGGAGATGGATATCTGGCAAGATCGGGGAATCTCACATCGCTATCATCCTCTTCGTCGTCGAACTTGCGGCGGGCGGCAGCGGCAGCGGCAGAAACCTTGGGAGACGAGGGTGCGCTGGAACCGCTCTCCTCTTCATCTGTGTGGATATCTCTCGGTTAGCGACGCCTCGAGGATGTTTGGCATATTTGGTATGACTGGAGTTGCTGTATGATCAACCAACGCGGATTGCTGTGCGCTGTTCAAAGCACAGCCCTACACGGTGAGAGGAAGGGGCTTCATATCTAGGCTCGGGCAGGATTCGTGAAGTGATGTATCAAGGAGATAGATACACTTACCCCACTCTTTTGAAGGCATGGTGTCGAGTCCGACGAAATGGGTTCTTATCGCGTAGATTGGGGGAATAGGAAGTAGCAGCTGGCGTTCGAGCTGGGTTGGTGGAAGTGTGGTGGTAGGAGTTGAAGGGGGAACTTCAAACCGCGTCTTTTTTTTTCGGGGAGGCTAAAATTCTGTGGGATAAGGGCAGAGATCTCGCTTGAAGGGGGGACGGGAGGGGAATGATGGAGGGGGAGGGACACGCGGGATGGAGGGGTCAAGGCTCAGGCGCCAGGCGAATCCCGCTATGGGCCTGGCACTCTATTAATTAATTCCAGTGTACTGGTTTGCGTCACTGATGCCCAGGCTGGTCTGAAACTGGAAATCCCCAGTGGGACTTTGACAGGGACCGTGCAGTAAAACACAGCCTTGGATGAGTGTGATCCAGTCAATGTGATGATGTGTTGGCACGGGCACGCTCCGTCACCTTCAATAGCCACGTACATATTGGATTATCGGCTATTTCCTGACATGCATGTGTTCAATGGAAATAAATTAACGGTCCTCCATAAAGTCAATGCTTTGGTCTGCTTCCTCTTTCTTCCGCGGCTTGGTGGGGGAGAACGATGCCTAGTCTGTATCCTGTCTGTCTCTAATTTTTTTGTCACATGGCACATGCAGCCCGCCCAACCGCCGCCGCCGCCGCCGCAGAAGAAAAACCTGTCATCAGCGGGTGTCGGAACCTGCCTTGGATGGGTTGGTTGGTGGACAGCTGCAGTCGTTTTTGTGTAGAGGTAAGGTAGGTATATCATAAAAGTGGCATCGTGATTATGCAGCCACATCAGTACTATTCACGAATGCATCTAATGCTATGACAGGCATTTCTATAAATGATAGTGAAGATGCAGGTGCATTACCTGGCTGATAATACTGAATTATTATAACTATATTATCAATATTATGAATTATGATGTTTTCATGCTGACTGTCATATACCAACTTTGCGTCCAGAGATCCAGAGACATGCAACATAGGTAATCAATAAGTTGCATTCCAACTTTGTGGCGGTCCGTATGAGATACATTTAATACAAATTCAGCTTCTTCTCATTTTCCCTCTTACAAGGTCAGCGGGTATCACGATCGTCGCTCTGATGCGATAAAACGATGTCATCACTAACTCCAAATGGCCAAATAGCCTACTCGATGTCAATAAACTGGGATCGCACTTGACCCACCTAACCTAGATGGACACTTTGACTATCTGACTCACAAAGGCTCCGACAGATCCCGATGAGCTGGTTTGCTCTAATTTGAGTGCCGCGAGTAATTCTAGTGTATTTCAGAGCATGTGCCAGAGGAAATTCATCTTTGTCTCCGATCCATTTTCGTGTAAGTAGTAAGCCTGCCAAGAGTTCCCACGAGCCTCATTGTTTGTTCGTGTAGCGTTCGGCCTTCGCTCTCGGCCGTTTGTGGTTGTCATCAAACTTACATCATGGCTTAGGTTAGGTAGGGGGGATGGGCGGAATGTTCAGTAATAATAGATTTATATAAAACGAGGAATGCGCTGCCTGCATCCTCGGGCAATATCTGGTGAACCTCAGGTTTCTACTCACCTAAGCCAATACACTTAAACTGAGCTTTCTCAGACAACCCATCAAACAAATCTATACCATCTGCCGCCCATGATCTCAACTCCCATCCACACTTCAGTCCCGGCTTCAAGTCAGGCGATCCGATTCGCCGCTGCCGGTGTACTACGCCAAGCTCGACCCTGTGTACACAGCCGTCTCTACCTTAAAGTACCCGCTTGCGGCGCTGTTCTACACCGTACAGCACCTCGTTTCTTCTCAACGACACCTGCTCATCAATTACGAGACTTTTTCCCTGCCAAAGATACGCCGCATATCAAAACTACGCCGGCAGCATGGCCTCATCATGGGTTTACGGCCGAGGAGATGTTGGCCGTAGTCCCTGATCACCGACCGCCTCGGACTGTTGGGGACTGGGTCGCATGGAAGATTGTCCGAATTGCTAGGTACTGTATGGATAAAGCAACAGGCATGGAGCGAGACCAGCACAGCGATAAGAGCAAACCGACTACAGCTGTTGTGGCCGAGAAGCCACTTACAGAAGCACAATGGGTCAGTCAACATTTGTCATATTCCCCCCATGAATACATTTATACGAATTCAAGAGCCGGACAAGGCTAACTGATCGCTAGCTGATTCGGTTCGTGTTTCTTGAGAGCATTGCTGGTGTGCCGGGCATGGTTGCTGGCATGCTCCGCCATCTGGGCAGTCTTCGCCGAATGAAACGAGACAATGGATGGATCGAGACACTCTTGGAAGAGAGTTACAACGAGAGAATGCATCTGTTGACATTCATGAAGATGTGCGAGCCCGGATGGTTTATGAAGCTGATGCTCATCGCAGCTCAAGGCGTGTTCTTCAACGCGATCTTTGTCTCGTACCTCATCTCGCCAAAAATTGTCCACCGCTTTGTGGGATATCTCGAAGAAGAAGCAGTCCACACTTACACGCGATCAATATACGAAATTGAACAGGGTCTCCTCACTCGATGGTCCGACCCCAACTTCAAAATCCCCGAGCTTGCCATCCAGGTTAGTCAAGAGCCTCCTCCCCGAGATGCGAAACCACTGACCAGTCATCCAGTATTGGAACATGCCTGAGGGCAACAGAACAATGAAGGACCTTATCCTCTACATTCGTGCTGACGAGGCTTGCCACCGCGGCGTCAACCACACACTCAGCAATCTCAACCAGCAAGAAGACCCGAATCCATTTGTCAGCACCTTCAAGGACCGTGAGGTTCCCAAGCCGGCGCTTAAGCCTGCTGGCTACGAGCGTGCAGAGGTGATCTGAGGCTCGCCTCTATTCAAATACGATCCTTTATCTGGACTCTTTCCCTTTGTTTCCCATGCTTCGATAGAGCATCTCTGTATGAATAGACACAAAATTAGACGATGTCGTCATTGTTGAATTGTTAGATTAGACATCAGGGCGCTAGGCGTTTGAGGATATGCAAGACGACGAAACGGACGTCCAAGGAACTCTCGGCTCATGATAGAATCATAATACACCTTCTCATTTTCTGCCCCTGCTTGTACGCAGTCTGCCTTGCGGCGTTCTAGCATATCATGTGCCCTTGTCTGACCTGAATCTAAAAAGAGATTCTCAGGTAAAAACCAATCACTTCTGACAGAGTCCGCATAATGTGTGTGAATGTCACGCAGTATATTTTTGGGACAGTGGAGTTGCGCCCATCCAGACCGAGATAGGTAGCTACACAATGCGACTTGGCCGCGCGCTGTGGAACAACAGCAGTCTATTGGAAGGAAAGCGGGAAGGCTAGAGTCGTCGGGTCGAGAGTAAGCAGCAAAACCGACCTCGAGCCAGGGTTTTGGACCCCAAATTCTGTGGCACACTTTGGGTAGGTCCGAAGCCGCTCATGAACTTGTGGCTGTGTAAGACATGTCAGCAAAATTATATTGTCGGCACGCCTGGCCGCTCCCTAGGCTGGGCTTGGCATCTAGGATATGAAGCAAGGCCTAGTTACACATGGATACCTCAGTGCCAAGGTCCTGGAGGTGTCTCTGTCTTGGAGCAATGAAGCCATTGGTGTCTGTGCCACGTCGCTCGTCTCATGTTGTGGCGGGCTTCATTAGTAGGGATGGATGATTTGAAAAGATGGGCGTGCAGTCGGGCTGTTCTTCATGCAAGCCCAGGCACCCGTTGAGAAGATGATACAAGCTAGGACGACAATGTGCACTATCATACTGGAACAGGCGGACAGGGGTGTTGTTGCTGTGTACATGTAGGGAGGCCGCACGTCAACAGGATTCGCTCTGCTCAGGGAGTGAAAGTTAAAAAGTCGTCGCGTTCAGAAGACGACATGTGTGGCTCGTTCGCCCTATCCAACAAAGCATGGCTGGGCGGTAAGCGTGACGGGATATGCACTTTGGTTTTCTGGAAAGGATAGTCGCATGCTGTTCTGACAACAAACCCAGTGGAAACAAGGTACATGTGGCTGCGCCAGGCGGGTAAGAGCTTGTTTCTCGCTGACCCAGTCGTCTGCATGTGAGCGAGAAGAAAAGTCCTACAAGTTGCTATTAATAAAACCAGGCCGGCCGGCTCTCTGTCTCTCACGCCAACGGAGAGGGCGCCACGGCAGGAGACCAGCGCCTCGAAGCGAAGCGTGGATTGTCTCCCTCGTCATCGGGTCGTCGTCGTCATGCCTGCCGCGCCCAGGGAATCACTCCCGTGGAATGCACAGCTGGCTGGCCTGGGCGCGTAATCGGTCACTTGCACAGCCTCACTAACTTGCCCACTGCAGGCACTTGGAAGCCCATGAAACGCCGCATTGGCTCGGTACCTGCCAGATCGCAACCCTGGCTGGCCTTGTGAGTCCCAGTACGTACCGGGTTGTGAGTGGTACCTGACCGCCCTACCGTCATGCCTGATCCACCGGGTACACTCCTGGTAAGGGCTTGTATGGGGACCTGGTAAGACCGTCCCGGTCTGGGTAGCCACAAGGCCCCAAAGCGCCTTCCAACCCCTCTTGAGTTTGAGTCCATCTTCCCCAAAGGTAATTTCATTTACCTGTACCTTCTCCCCACAAGCCGACACCAGTAGCATTCACCACCTGTCAGACGAGCTGGCCCAACCTCCATCCGTCCTCTGCCTGCATCAGCCGTACATAAACAGTCCCTCCTCCATTGCGCGTCCCTTCCTCGACATTTACGTCAACCGCGCAGCCGTATCGGATTTGCCGTCTTCTGTTTCGCTCGTCGCCCGGGAGCACAGCCCCTCTTGCGCTGGCATCGCCACAGGTGTTAGAAGGCTGACTTGCAATTCTGCCTCGCTCTCCACTTGTGCCGTGTTCATCACTTGAGTTGGAGACCACTGCTCCAATGGACCAGCAAATCCAACGCGACCGGTCGCCTTCGGCCGGTCACCACCATCCTCAAATATCCCCGCCCGCGGGTTCATATCCGCAGCCCACCAACGACTCATCGTCTGG